GGATGCAGAGGCTTCTTTCTCTCTTAGATGTTCTGAAGTAGAATGCCTCCACTCCACCCCAACCCAGGACGGGACCTCAGGCTTGGGCTTGTGTGGGGAGGCAGGGGCTCTGTATGAGCTCATGTGGTCAGTCCACATGGACAGCACCTTCTACTAGCGTTTCAAGGGCAGGAGACCAGATGGGTGAGGAACCCACCAACCACACCATGCAGCCTAGCCTGTGAGTTGGAGCAGCCCAAGCAATGCAGGTCCTGCAGAAACCCAGGAGAGTTCAGCGAGCAGAGTCTACAAGGAGGCTCCCTGGGGTTACCCCCCAGGGCAGAATGGGCCATCCAGGCCAGTGCTGGGCTCACATAAGAAAAAGATCTTTCTACCTGAACAGACATTTCTCTAAAGGAGATGAATAGTGGGATGTGGTGGTGCATGCTTGTAGGCCCTGTCTCAACAAAACAAATGACGAAAGGCAAGTAGTAAAGAGAAATGGGTGCTAGGCATGGGAGTAGATACCTGATGCCCTAGGTAGAGGGGCTGAGATGAGAAGGCTGAGGTCAGCCTGGGAAATGAACACACATGGGCACACACACGGGGGGGGGGGGGGGAGGAATGTGTGTGCAGGCAGGCAGACAGACAGACAGAATGCTAGTTTTGATAAGTTGAAGGAAAAATAGAACCGTTTTAATTCCAGCACTTGGGAAGCAGAGGCAAGTGGATCTCTATGAGTTTGAGGCCAGCCTGATCTACACTGTGCATTCTAGGCCAGAAACCCCGTAACACCCTGTCTCAAAAACAAACAACAACAACAAAAACTGAGGGAACCTTTGTGACCTCTCAAACAACATAAAATGGAACAGCTGCTGTGATCATTCCTTAAAAACACTAAAAATAGAGTTGCCACATGTATACATGTACCCAACAGAACTGAACTCATGTAGTCAGTAGAAGGTTCATGGCAGTATCAGCCACACACCAAAAGGCAAAGGCAGCCCGAGTGTCCACTGTCAAATTCGGGGGAAAGTAACATGACATTTGTGTACAACGGGACACTCCCCAGCTCCAACAGGAAGGAAATTCTAACTCACACCACAGTTTGAATGGACCTTGAAGGCACTGTGCGGAGTGAGATAAGTCAGACACAAAAGGTTTCCGTACAACCCGCTTACCCGAAGTGTTTAAGGCGGTCAAACTCAGAAACAGAAAGTAGGATGGACATCCTAGGAGCTAGGGACAGGACGGGGATGGGGAGTGACTGACTGTTCAAGGTCGAGGGATTCCAATTTTGCAAGATGCAGATGATCTGGAGATGGATGATGGGAACTGATGGGCTGCATTATGAATGTACTTGACACCGCCGAACAGCGATTAAAACAGGGCTGGCCGTGTACGTTCAATGCCCAGAATCCATGTTAGAAAAAAACAGAACAGGCATGGGAAGGTGGCCGTGTGATCTCAGCAATGGGACCATGGTTGGGGGTGGACCGGGAGCATCCCAACCAATAGCATCCCAGAAGCTCTCTGCTCCGCCAGCCCCGCCCACTCAGCAAGCACCAGACCAATGGGAAACCTTATAGCAAAAACCGATGGGTATAGTACACGAGGAAGAACACAGCAGGTTGACCTGCGGCCTTCAAACACAAAACTAACAAAAGCAGATATAATAACAAGGCGTGGTGCCTCACACCGGTAATCCCAGTACACAGGAGGCCGTGTAAAACCAGTTCAAGGGTAGAATACATAATGAGGCCCTTCTCAAAAATCTCCTGCAAAAGAGTTTTAAAAGAAAATTTTATGTCATGGACATTGTACCACAATAAAAAACAAACAAACAAAACGTTGTAGTTGTCTGTTTTGAGACAGGATCTCACTATGTAGATCAGGCTGACCTGAACTCACAGAGTGTCTCTGCCTCCACCACACTTAACCAAAAGAAATTTTTGATTAAGCTGTTTCTGAACTAGGCTAAGGATATAGGTAAGTGGTAAAGTACTTTCTTATCATATATAAAACCTTGAATCTCATAGCTCAGAAAAGGGAACAGTAGGGGCTAGGACTCTAACAAAAACTATGTGTATATATGTGTGTGTATCTGTATGTGTGTGTATGTGTGTGTGTCTGTACTGTGCAGAAGAGTATTACAGGTTTCAGGTGGTTATTAGTCACAAGACATGGATGTTGAGGAGCAAACTAGAGAGCTCCTCCTCCAGAAAAGCAAATGCTCTTAACCACTGAACACTCTCTAGCCCTGAAACAGGAATCCTTAAAGCTGCTTATGACTATCTATGGTACATGGCTGGGGCAGGGGCTGTAGCATAGATTGCCCTTGCCTAGAACACATGAGACCCTGCAGTCAACACCCAGCGCCACATGAACCAGGTGTGGAGATACATACTTGTAATCCCAGCACTTCAGAAGTAGAAGCAAGAATCGGAAGTTCAACATAGTCCTGAGCTACATAGTGAGTTCAAGATCAACCTGGGTCACATGAGACTGCCTCAAACAAACAGAGTTGTAGAGACAGAAGGTAAAACAACTGTTGGCTTGTACAGGAAGATGTCCTTTGCATGATGCTGTAAGTTATTCGGAAGAAGAGAGTCCTATAAGAAAGCCACCTCCAGCTCTTGAGAAACAGCAACAGAGATCACGGAGAGCCGGACCTGACAGCACTGCATGGGGAAGATGGTGCCAGAGGGAGGCCCCAAGCCAGTTCCTCAGGCTCTCCCAAGACAGGAAGGGACAAGAACTCCACAGGAGAGACTAGAAATGAGCAGTATTCTCCAATACCACATCTATGAGGGTAAAGGGAGTAGACTGATACAGGAGTCCTCTTTCCCCCTGGAGTCAGAAAGGAGAAGTGGCGAGAGTGGAACAGGACCCAGCCAGTGATGTCATTGCATCTCCTTTTTGCCACACGGGCACTCGATAAGTCAATATCCTATTCTTTATAGTTGCCAAAAGTGTGAGAATGACTAGTTGGTTCAAGTAAGCCACAGGACAGGGGAGATGTAACCCCAAAGTGACCCTGGGCGCCATTCCAGAGTAAATGCTGGGGTTAATGAGATATGTTACAAGGTTGGAGAACTCTGCAACTCTGGAAGTGTCCACAGTGAAGTGGGGGTGATTTCTCTTCCTCCTTTCAACCCCCCGCCCCACAGCAAGGTACCAGCAGATAATATCTCAAGTGGGTTTTATCAGGGAGCTAAAAAGAGAAGTTACCTACATTAAGTTAGAGGTCTGGATTTAAGAAGGATGTTAACAGCAGAAGAAGCAGCAGCCCAAATGGGACTCGGTGGGGAAAGCAGCACCAGCAGGCGGTCCAAATCGGAATCCATTTGTACTTTTTTCCCACAGATGTGTATCAATTCATAAAGATTTCAGAAGATGGAGTGATGGACAAGCCTGTAATCTCTGCAGTCGGGAACCTGGGCTGAGTGTGGGACCAGCTTGGATTACTGTTTGAACCCTGAGGCAAAACAAACTGACCACTATTATCTCCCCGCATGTCGTCCTGGATTTCTGCTTTGTCAGAAGTGTGTCATTAGGTGTGGTCTGAAATATGCTCAACACTCACATGTTGTGAGCTTCATCTTTTTTTTTTTTTTTTTGGTTTTTCGAGACAGGGTTTCTCTGTGTAGCCCTGGCTGTCCTGGAACTCACTCTGTAGACCAGGCTGGCCTCGAACTCAAAAATCCACCTGCCTCTGCCTCCCAAGTGCTGGGATTAAAGGCGTGCACCACCACCACCCGGCATCTTTTTTGTTTTTCAAGACAGGGTTTTGTCTCTGTATCTCTGGCTATCCTGGAACTCGCTGTGTAGATCAGGCTGGCCTCAAACTCCCCACCTTCCAAGTGCTGTGGTTAAACCATGTGCCGCCGCCACCCACCTAGACTGTCATAACACAATGCAATATACAAAGGGAGACGCTGGCTGTGACTTAATCTCTTGATGAAATTATTGTCGTCATCATTGCCTTTCACTCTGTAGCTCCAGCTGTCCTTGAACTCACTATGTAGGCCAGGCTGGCCTCACACTGTTGGCCAGGCTGGCCTCAAATTCACTCACAGAGATCCACCTGCCTCTGCTTCCCAAGTGTTGGGATCAAAGGTATGTACCTGGCTTGGAATCATAGCTTGCTGTTATTGGAAGATGGAAACTGGGAGGTGGGGCCTAGCTGGGGAAGCGGGTCACGGGTACACCCTTGTCCTAGTCTATTCTCCTGGTCTTTGCTACCACATCCGGAGGTAAGCACTTCGGGTCTGTCATATCTTTTCTGCCATGATGTTCTGCCTCACCTCAAACCCCGAGCAACATAACCAGCCAGCCAGCCTCAGTCCTCTGTAACCCTGAGTCGAAAGAATCCTTTCTCTGTTAAATTGGTTTCTTCAGACTTTGTCATAGCAGTGGTTAAGAGCATATACACGCTCTGAGAGACTTCATTACTTCCCTCAGCGCATTGTTACCTTTTTGGTTCCCAAAGATAAATAGCCTTAGTCAATTAACCATGCCTATAATTCTTCGGAGCTCCTCCATCCTTCTGCCCTTACCCTCCTCCCTGCTGCCTTCACCTACTAGAAGGAAGGAAGACATACAGCGTGTAAAGAGAAAAGGGCCCAGTGAGCTCCACCATCAAATACACGGGTGCAGCTAGCACCTTAAGCCTCCAAGTGTGAGGGCACTGTATCCGTGATTCAGGTAACACACACACACACACACACACACACACACACACAGGATGCCAGACTTGGACAAATAGAGCTAGGTATTGTGGCACACAGAATGACCCAGTACTCGGGAGATGGAGGCAGGAGAATCAGAAATCCAAAGTCATCTTGACTACATACTAAGTTCTAAGCCCACCTGGACTGAATGAAGCACTTTCTCAGTGAACTGAAATGAAGGGGAGGGGGTGTTGAATGATTTAGCATGCTTTGCCATATAGTACAAGACTGCTGATATACTCATAAGCTGAAAGCCATCCCATCCTCCCTCCACGTAAACCCAGGTACCTATCCAAGGAGTGCCCGTGACCTCCGGGGACCATTCGCTCCACTGGCCAAGGTCAAACTCCTCCTTCCCACGGATCTGTACCACATGCTTCACTCCCCGAAAGGCATCATGGATGACGCACTGATGCTGAGCCACCGGGAGCTGAGGATGGAGACATGGTGAGTCCCAGTGGCCCCAGTGAGGCAATGCTACAGGGAGAGGACACTCTTGACCACCCTGTTTTCCACTTGGCAGAGCTCACACCACCTGGGGGGCTGAGGTGGAGTCATTCTCAAGCCTAGGTGACTGTCATTCCCGGCAAGCTGTATCCCTTGCTTTATGTAGAACTCAGCATTCTTCTTAGGCTGGTCAGAAGGAGTCTGGCCTGGCACTATTAGTCTCATTTTATAAAGACAGAGCCATGACTCATAAAGGTAAATGGCTGGAAGGGGCAAAGCTGGATCAGAACCTAGTCCAGCTTTTCTGGTGTCCTACTTCCCTTAAGACCTAGGGGAAATTTTTCTGTTTAGATCTAGATCTCAGCTGGACATAGAGGCTCACTTTTGTAGTTACAGCACTTGGGAACTTAGGAGGCTAAGGAAGGTGAATTGTCATGAGTTCGAGGCTACTACAGGGTGAAACTTTATCTCCAAACAAAGGAAAGGAATTACCGGCCACACCGTGAACGTCTTTGACCATACAGGTCGGTATCGAAGCTCGAACTGCAATAAGTAGAAACTTGGGTCCCAGGACTCAGGGTCTTGCCAGCTGACTTTGAGCCAGCGAGGCCTTCCAGGTATGGCTGATACCACAAGGTTGGCAGGTGGATCCGGCTGTACTGTGGAGAGGGAATAGGGTTCTATGCAGTGGCAAGCATGGTATAGAAGAGACCCTCAAAGGCCCTGCAGACATCCCCACTGCTAGGCATGCACCACTCCCCAGAAATGTTTAAATTTTATTTATTTAGTGGAAACAGAACCCAGAGCCTTGCACCTGGTAAGCAAAAACTCACTGGATCACCCCTTAGCACCCTATGTTCATCCTGAGAAGACCCCCACCTATTTATCAGCAATGTCTCCATGAGACCCAGCTCCCAAGCCCCTCTGCACACTGCCTCTCCTAGGGATAGATCTGGAATATATTAAAAAAAAAAAAATTCCTCAACAGAAGGAAGCAGCTGCGGGGTGGAGCTCTCTTACCCATTTTTAAGCTCTGAAACGCTACATTGTGGCTGGATTTGCTTCCGACACTGTTTGCAACACACAGTGACACTATGTGGTACACTTTGTCACCCTCTAGGATCTCCACCTGGCAGGAGAAGCTTTTCAGCTGCTGAGAATACTGGCAGGGCACCTGGAAGTCACTCTTGCCGTTGGTGGAGTTGCTGTGGGACACAACAGATGAAGGGCACAAAGATTCTAGCAATTTTTATTTGTTTCAAGAGAAAAGAAATCTAGCCCAGGGATTGGAGGCTCGGGAACTGATTCTAGCTTTCAGGCTTCACCTCAGCCAGTGTCTGTTCCTATTAGTGTCTGTGACTTTCAGCATGCTTTTCAACCCAAGTGTTTATTTTCCCCCTAGAAAATAGGAAAGTTAATGGCATTAGTGCCCATCTGATAGGATCTTTGGCAGAGCCCAGCCAACGAGGGACAGACGGAGAAGGTCCCTCTGGTCTCATATTTGTCAGTGTGTCTTGATCTCTGATTTTCTTCCTGAGTCTTGTCCTTTGCACTATAAAGGATACAGAAATGGATAAGAATAGCCCTTCCCAGGGCACAAAAGAGCTCCTCTCAGGTGATACAGCAGAAATGTCCGCGAATCACCAAAGCACACAAGTAAAGGGGAACAGGAGTGAGGGGAAGAATAGAAAAGGACTCCGAAGACTGAAGATGGCCAAGGGAAGTCAGAAACCATCCAGCAGACCCGGAAACCTGAGATCTCACCCACTTCCACTTTCCCTGCCACCAGAAAACAAGTGAACAACCTCAGATTCAGATAAGAACCTCAGGCTCAGCCCATGCTGATCACCACACTGGTTTTGTAATATGGAAATTCTCCCTCGTCTGCTAGAGGTATTTCCAAAGTCCTTCAGTGAGAGACCTGAGACTTCAGAGTAGCAGGGCCTACCCTGGTACAGCATGTGTCCTATGCCCTGCAGATGTCAGGATCTCATGCCTTATGCTCTTGATCACCGCCTGATTGTGTTCTAGGACCAGGCTTGATGAGCAGCACGGGTAGCCGCAGCTGATTCACAACCTGGGTGGAGTTACTTAGAATGACCCAATTTAAAGCATGCATTTGTTTACTTCTGGGAATTTCCACTTAATATTCCAGGGCCATGTTTGACTGGTAGTAGCTACACCCATAGGAAGGACCCATAAGAAGGAATACCACACTCTGATCACTCAAACTTTATAGAAATATCTAGGCATAAGAGGGGTGGCTTGTGGGTGGAGACTACAGTCTCTCTAGTGTGTTACATTGCACTTCCTCTACTTCCCTGGCCCCAGGTCTCCGTGCCATCTTCTAATAGGCAAAGGTCTGGATGGGTCGCACCTCACCCCCCACCCATGACTGCTCTCTGTATCTTGTCTTTATGATGCTCACAGGGTCAAGGTACCAACAGCAGCCTGTCAGCCTCATTATAAGCCTCCAGAGCCATTTGTACCTTTCCTGTAGGGCAACATCCCAAACCTTTGGACCTTGATGGAAAATGGGCTTGGGTTCTCTTCCCAACCACTTAGAACCATTTCCTAGCTAGATGGTCTCAAGCAAATTAATCAGTCTCACTGAACCCCAGCATGCATTTCCCATAATTGTTGGGTAAGGTAAATTGAATTGAGCCTGGGGTTCAGTTCCTTTATTCCAAAGGATTTCTTTTTTCTTTTTTACTTTCTTTTATTTTTAATTTTTGAAATAACTGAGGATCAAAATATGGCCTTACACATGTTATGTGACAGACTTGGAAAACTTTCTACTGATAAAACATTGGACCTGGGTCTGAAGAGACAACTCAGTAGCTAAAGGCACTTGTTGCTCTTGCAGAGGGCCGTGGAATCGACTGCTAGCACCCACATGGTGGCTCTCAACCACCTCTAACCCCAGTTTCAGAAGATTTAATAGGCATATAGTGCACATACATGCATTCTGGCAAAACATTCATGCTCATAAAATAAAATAAATCTAAAATAATTAAAAGGCCCTGTCCACTGTCCAGCAGTGGCCTGGAGCCCCCCACCCTTCTTCCCTTAGTTCCAGGCCACCAGTGAGCATCAACTAACCCTGAGCCCACAGCCCCACCTGCCACTTACACTTTCTTTGCAAACAGCACAGCCTTCGTGGTTGGAGAGGGGGTGTTGCTCGGATGCCACTCACAAATAGCATTGACAAGGGGGTTCTTCCGGAAGCAGGAGAGCTTGGGCTCCTCTGGGGGAACTGAAAGAGAACTTGGCAGGATAAGGGGGTGCAAGACCTCCAAGCACACCTGTTATGTGTATCATTACCCTCCCCCCTCCAGCAGAGGGGACCACCTGGTTCAGCTCAGAGCCACAAATGACACAACTCCCCAGGGATGTACTGGCCAACAATTCCGAGGCCCAGAGAGAAAGGTTTCATTACCTTTTGGGCTTCTGGCTACAGCAGTGGTTCTCAACCTGTGGGTCATGACCCTTTGGCAAACCCCTCTCTCCAAAACCATTTACATTACAATTCATAACAGTAGCAAAATTACAGTTATGAAGTAGGAGTTATGAAGTAGGAATTATTACGAAAATAATTTTATGGTTGGAGGGGGGGTCACCATGACATGGGAACTGTATTAAAGGGCCACAGTGCCAGGAAGGCTGAGAACCACTGCTCTAGGATTGAAAAGACAATGCAAAACTAGCACCTGTGGCCTCACCTGATGTTGACACTGGACAAACGGACACTGGAAGGACTATTTGGGACATAAGGAAGAACATGGCTGAGAGCAAGGCTTGCCACAGGGCATGGACCCTCCAGCTTCCACTGGAGCTGAAGGAGCCCTTAACCTGCTAATCCTTGGTGGAGTATGCCCTCTGAGAGTCTTATGTGTGTTTCATGTGTGCTGGACAGTTTTCAGCCCTCAAACACTTACTTTCTCTTTGCAACACTTTGCAACATGGAAAGGTGATAAAGTTCACTTTATTTTGCCAAAAGAATGTGAGGGAGTTAGTAGGAGTTAAGCCCAGGTGCCTGGCTGGGAGTCCAGAGCTATTAAATCTGCCAGATGGTTCCACCACTGGCCATGCACACGGGCCAATCAGTGAGTGGCCCTTTTCCTGAAACTCTTGAGTCAAAAACGGCAAACTTGAAGGATCAGTCAGGGAATCTTTCTGAATACAGATGACATTGAAGCTACTGGAGCCACTTCCAAGGACACTGGGGGCACAACTCACCATCCACCAGCAAGGGCACAGTCCCAACCAAGTGATCATCCAGGAAGCACAAATAGTTCCCAGTGTCGCTGAGCTGCACAGCCCTGAGAACCAGTGTGTTTCCCATGGTAGTCCATTTTCTGTTCTGTGAGCCAGAGTATACCCAGTGAATGGTAACGTTGCCTGCTGCTTCCTTCCTGGGGCAGATCAGGGTAACAGTGGCCCCTGGCAGGCTCGTCACCGTACCATTTGCCACCTCTGGGGAAGAAAAACACAAAGTAAGCCTAGCAACTTGAAAATGGGACTTTGTATATGATTTGGAGAAGTCAAAGGCCTCCACAGTAACACCTGTGGAGTCTTCCCATGGTCCAGCCTGCACCACATCTGTCTGGCCTCCAGAAACCTCCCAGACCACCGAGCTGTCTGCTACAGTGCACTCTCTCAAGCCATGATCCAGAAATCGAGCTCCCTTGATAAAAAAACCTTTTAAAGAGACAGGTGAGGTGGTGCTCACCTTTAGTGCTCCCCATTTAGGAGACAGAGGTGAACTCTGAGAGTTCAAGGCAGAGGTCAACTTGGTCTACATAGCAAGTTTTGGGTCAGTCTACATTGTGAGACCTTGCCATAAAAAGAAAGAAAGAAAGAATGAATGAATGAATGAATGAATGAATGAAAGAAAGAAAGAGCGAGCCAGGCATTGTGGTGCATGCTGTTAGTCCCAGCAATATCCCTGCATTTGGAAAGCAGAGACAGGGGGAATCTCTGAGTTCCATACCAGCCTGGGCTACACAGAGAAACCCTATCTTGAAAAACAGAGAGAGAGAGAGAGAGAGAGAGAGAGAGAGAGAGAGAGGAAGAAGAAGAAGAAGAAGAAGAAGAAGAAGAAGAAGAAGAAGAGGAGGAGGAGGAGGAAGAGGAGGAGGAGGAGGAAGAGGAGGAGGAGGAGGAAGAGGAGGAGGAGAGAAGAGAAGAGAAGAGAAGAGAAGAGAAGAGAAGAGAAGAGAGGAGAAGAGAGGAGAGAGAGGAAGAAGAAGAGGAGAAGGGAAGAGAGAAGGGAGGAGGGAAACAAAAGGAAAAGAAAAGAAACAAACCTTTAAGGACCTGATCCTGCCCAAAGATTGAAGATCCAGAGGCTCTGAAGCCCCAGAGTGCCTTTCTGCCCTCTTAAGCCTCCTGTCAACACCCAGGAAGATCCAGAGCCTCTCCCTCCCTCTCTCCCTTATGCTCTGCCTGTCCTGATACTTCCCTTTTCTTCCCCCATGCCATCCCCACAGTAGAACATCATGTGTATTTCAGGGCTCAGCCTCGACCCCCCTTTCCTAATGGAAGTCTCCGTTCCCAGCTGAATTAAAGCTCATACTTGTGCCATCTCCACTCATTGCTCCAAGTCTTTACCTCAAGACTTGAGAGGCGGGGCCAGCAAGATGGCTCAGTACGTTAACATCCTTGCCATGCAAGCCGGAGGACCTGAGTTGAACAAAGAGAACCGGCTCCCAATAGTTGTCCTCTGACCACGGGTGCTGCGGCAAGCCCACAGAACACACACATATACCACACACATGATGATATGATCATTTATGTTTATTATTTTAAAAATCATTAAAAATAAGCCGGGATATGGTGGCCCACACCTTTAATCACAGCACTTGGGAACACTCTGTGACAGCTTGTACAAGTTTGAGGCTAGCCTGGTCTACAGAGCAAGTTCTAGGACAGCCAGGGCAACGTAGAAAAGCCTGTCTCCAAAACATCAATTAATACATAAATGAACAAACAAATAAAAAATAAAAGAGAACCACTCCTCTCTCTAAGTTAGAGAGAGAGAGAGACAGACAGACAGACAGGCAAACAGACAGACTCAGGCACCACAAGGACAAGCACCTTGCTTTATCTCAGTGTCAAGAGTGGTGTCTGGCACATGGCAGCTACCCTTCTGCAATTGATGAATGCACAAGGGACCTTATGACTTCACCTAGCGTCAGGTTCTCAAGTGGGAACCCAGCGTTCACGAATGCACAAGAAGTCTCAGCGTGAGTGGCTGCACACTGGCCCATTTTATACGTGGTGACCAACACTGAGAATTACTAGGAACAGGGAGAAAAGAACCAAGGTTTCAGACTCTCTCTGCTCCAACCAGGACCCTAATACCCACCATCATGTAAACACCTAGGCACAGATGTTTTTATTATAGGGACTAAGTTGGGAAGTAAAAACTAACAAATACGTTCTTCATTCCCTGAAGAAAAAAAAAAACCATAAGCTATACTTAAGGAAAACAACGATTAAAGACTCAGGGAACACTGAGCAGGCATGGAGACTCACATCTATAGGCTCCATTTGGGAGCCTGAGGCAAGGAGATCACCAAAAGTTTAAGGCCAGCCTGGCTCGAAAAACAGACTAGAGGGGCAAATCCACTTTTTTTCTTAGTACAGACTATAGATTATAGACTCACAGAATCTATGATAAATAGATAAATAGACAGATAAAATGAGACTTGTATAAAAGTAGTCCCACTGGCTGAGGAAACAGAGTCCAGGGAACATGGCCTTTTCAGGTTAGGCATAAGTGGTTCTTCAAACCAAACACTTAACTTCAAATCAGCAAGAGTCAGCAATACATCTGGCCAAGGACTTGGAGAAGCCAGCTGTGGCCAGAGTGCCTGACCTCACGTCCCCACGTGTTCCTGACACTGAGGATAAGCACAAGACTCTCTTGGGCCTTCAAAGCCTTCCTGCTTAGAAAGAGGTCTGGCTTGCGTATGAGCTCTCCCATACACTCTCCTCAGCGACCATCAGAGAGGAGGGAGGAAGTAAATTGCAAACATCAAGTCAGGGCAACCTGACCACGATCACAAAGGCTGCATCAGAAAGCAGGGCTTCTGCCTGGTATGTGGACATCCTTTATGCTACAGAGGATGGTCCAATAGGTACAAGTCAGAATGGTGGCCACGGTTCTCCTCTCTACCTCCAGAGTCTTGGATTTATGGGTGAAAAAATAATGGCAGAGGCTAGAGAGATGGATGAGTAGTTAAGAGTGATGGCATCTCTTCCAAGGACCTGAGTTCTGTTCCCAGCACCCACATTGGCAGCTCACAACTGCTATAACTCTTGCTGATCTCGGAAAGAACTCATACACAGTAGCATACACTTACACCAGTGGTTCTCAACCTTCCTAATGCTGCAAACCTTTAATCCTCATGTTGTGGTGACCCTCAACCATAAAACTATTTTCATTGCTACTTCATAACTGTAATTTTGCTACTGTTATGAATCATGATGTAAATATTTTTGGAGATAGAGATTTGCCATAGAGGCCACTGACTCACAGATTGAGAACTGCCAACTTACAAAGACATACATGAATAAATAAAAATAAAATAAATCTTTTTTTTAATAGCCAGGCATGGTGAAGAACACATTTAAACTTAGTAGAGTCTCTATTAGTCTCTGTCTAAATTCCAGGACAGTCAGGGTTCCAAAGTCAGACCTTGTCTCAATAAGATAAAATAAGATAAAATAAAATAAAAATAGCAAGTCACCTTGTAACTAGGAGAGTTTGAGGAGGCTTCCTAGACTTCTCTGGCCTACAGTGAGTATGGAAGGTCCTCCCTCTGTCAATCAGCACCCAAGGCTCCAACATGGGGGAGCGACAGGTTTGGGCACCAGAGAGCCCCACCTGTGAGAAATGCAGTCTCTGGAGCAGACTCACAGTGCTCACAGGAATAGCCTGAGGGATGACAGAGCTGGAGAAGTTGGTGCTTCAGATGGTGCTAAGGGGACTCTTGGAAGAGGGCCTTCGTTCTAGCAAGCATTTGTACATATTCTTCAATGACAACCTTTCAGCATTTCATTGTTCTGCAATTATTTTACACACTGCTGAGCATATGCAAATTAATATATGTACTACTCATAAAAATTTTGAAGCATAAAACACCCAGGAGATTCCCCTGAAACTAGCACACTTGTTATCTCTGAAGGTGGCTCTGGTCCCCTGATCTACAACTTCCTGTCTTATATGTACTTTACATTTGGCAGTTTGTCCTCCATTACTTTAAAACTTTTTATCACATTATCTATCTCCATCTATCTGTCTGTCTATCTGTCCATCTGTCCATCCACCCATCCATCTATCTATCTATTATGGGGTTGCACTTGCCATGGCACATGTGGAAGCCAGAAGACAACGTGTGGGCATTCTTCCCTTCAATCACGTAGAACCCGGGGGACTGAATTCAGGTTATCAGGCTGAGCAACAAGCATCTTTACCCACTGAGCCATCTTGCTAGCCCTCTTCCTTCCCTACTTTAAAGAGTAAGTTGGTTACCCATGGGCCCCTTCCTCTTTTGTTCCTTTTGGTCTCTGAGCTTCATATGTATTCTCCTGTGCTGTGCTGTTTTCAGTCCTGTTTCCACAGTGTGTGGGTGTCATTTGCTTACTCTCACCTCAGTTTAGTATTCCATTATCTGAGGTTTCAACTTTGTTTCCAGGGCTGTGGTGTTTGAATGAGAACGGCCCCATAGGCTCAACTGTTTGAATGTTTGTCTCTGATTAGTGGGACTGTTTGGAAAGGATCAGGAGGTGTGGTCTTGCTAGTAGAGGTGTGGTCTTCTGTGGGTGTGGTCTTGCTGGAGGTGTAGTCTTGTTGGAAGTGTGGCTTTGTTGGAGGAAAACACTGAGGGTCTTTCCTCTCCTCCATTCATCTCACTGCTTGTTATCTGCAGATGAGGATGCTAAGGTCTCAGCTGCAGCTCCAGCACCATGCTGGCCTACCACCATGCTTCTCACTGTGATGGTTATGGACTTACCCTCTGAAACTGTAACCATACCCCAGGGTCTCCTGTAGCCCAGGCTGGCCTCAAACTACATAACTGAGAATGACCTTGATACCCATGTCTGCACCTCCTGAATCCCGAGTTACAGGTGTGCACCTGTACAGGTGTGCGCCTGGTCTGAATGGGGTAAAGTCTGGCAGATCTGAAGGCCCTCCAGCTTAATGTATCAATACACCCTTCTATTTCTCCTGGACAAAGCAGCTATAAGGATAAAACCTAACACAGGCATCAAGCTCATGTCTATGTTTTTAACATAGAGGAGCTTAGATAGAAATACTGACCAAAGGGGCTGGAGAGATGGCTCAATGGTTAAAAGCACTGTCTGCTCTTCTAGAGGTCCTGAGTTCAATTCCCAGCAACCACATAGTGGCTCACAGCCATCTGTAGTTGGATCCGATGCCCTCTTCTGGTGTGTCAGCAACAGGA